TTTTTTTTGTAATCAGGCAGAAACAATAGAGCATGTTTTAATAAAATTTAAAAAATATGGAAAAGAAAGGTTAAAACTCATTAAGGAAGTCAGAAACATGGGTGTTGAATCATTTAATTTGTCAAACCTCTTGAAAGAGCATGCAGAACAAGGTAAAATATATGGTGCTATTGTTAAATACATTAAAGAAATAGGATTAATCAAGAGAATTTAGGATTTTTTTATATATATATTTTGATATACATATATAAATATGTATATATTAGTTGCTTATTAGTGTTTCACTCTCCAGTCCAGTTGGTGGCGGTAAATGCACCAGAAGTTGGTTTGCCATCCGCCATAAAACGTTATTAGAAGAAGAAGAAGAAGAAGAAGAAGAAGAAGAAGAAGAAGAAGAAGAAGAAGAAGAAGAAGAAGAAGAAGAAGAAGAAGAAGAAGAAGAAGAAGAAGAAGAAGAAGAAGAAGAAGAAGAAGAAGAAGAAGAAGAAGAAGAAGAAGAAGAAGAAGAAGAAGAAGAAGAAGAAGAAGAAGAAGAAGAAGAAGAAGAAGAAGAAGAAGAAGAAGAAGAAGAAGAAGAAGAAGAAGAAGAAGAAGAAGAAGAAGAAGAGACGCTCCACGGACTGAACCGGGGAAAGTTGTTTCCTGAACTCTTGGTGCAGTTGTGTTGAAGGCCGCCACTGCTGCACTTCACACAGGAAAAGGAAGACGGATGCGGGCGAAGGGAAGAATATCGAAACGAAAGGAAAATATCGAGATAAATGACGTGAAACCATGGAAGTGTCGGACACGGCAGCATCGCGCAATGAGGAGATCAATGGTATGAACAACCAGTACATCTTAAACTATAGTCTAAAAGTAGAGGTTTGTGTCGATATAAACACATTTTGGGCAATTATTCCGAGATTGTTGCGATTAAAATAGTAAGTAATGACCATTTCAGCTTGGCGTGCAAACATGTAACGTTAGCTGCCGAAGCTCTTAAATAAAGAGAATAGACAGCATTAGATCTTGTATGTGCATTAAACAAAATGTGGGCATGCTTTGATGACAACCGTGTTTTAGCGCCGTAAATGTTTAGGTTCGATATTCGTCGGACATTCGCTTTCCCTTGCCACTGTTCTATAGAGTCGGCATTCTTACAAAGATATAAATACCACGATTAGTTTTAACAATATGCAACCATTGCATATCGACATAAAAAAAAAAATTAATTCAAAATTCCTACATTTATTTTCGCTGCAAATTTATACCCGAGAAGCTTTGACGCAGTATCACACAATGCTTAAGGGACCGTCTGAAAATTCCACCACCTGGTTTAAAACGTCAAAATTATTGTAATTACAGTAACTTTTAACGTTTAATCATACACATTGTAAAACTTGTAGTACTCAAGAGTGACTTAATAGAGGTTACATTTTGACAATACCTTATTTTATACAAGTACATAAATAAAATAAATGTATTGGAAAAATATTTACTTTACTGTACGTACAGTAAACAAACAAAAAAAAATCCTTGAAACAGGGTTTCCGCGGGGCATTAAAAAGCATTAAAAGTAATTAAATGGATTTTGTGAAAATTAAGGCCTTAAATAGCCTAAAAAAGTCATTAAATTTATCTCTACAGGCATTACATTTTTAGATGGTTTTGAATAAAAGTATTACCAGTCTACTTTGAATATAGCGCCTTCATAATTTATAAAAAATAACTTTTTAATTTGCTTCGCAAAATATGTACATTGGTGTGATACACACAGAACATTTTGGTGATCGCCTCTGGTCGGTGCGAAATAGCCGTAATGCCAGATGTTTGGACACCGGCGGCCTAGAGTAAAACTAAGAGCAGATAATGTTAATTTTGTAAAGTCGGAAAGAAATTGTGAAGTGCAATTGAGCAATTTCTGCGAGAATGATTCTGATTTTATTACATTCGGCATAAATGATGATTGATCATGAATAATGTATTGACAGTAATAAGGTAGCACATGTTGAAGCTCTCGCAGCCGGTGTGTTTGTGTGAGAGAATCTTGTGGAGAAATCAAAACAAATGAGCGCAACAGCACAGACAACTCATATGCTGCGTCACAATGTACCTACTTATACTATGCCCTTAAAGTATGTACTCTTTTGGTGAAGAATACCATATGATATAGCCTAGTTAAGCATCATGAGACGACCAAGAGAGTGCTGATTCTCGAATATCAGCACGATTGCAGATTTGACATTGATTTTATTCACTCTATAAACGAGTGATAATAATTCACTAATCTCCGAGCAGAACACAGCGGTGGTTCGTTATTGAATGACTCATCGCTTTTGAATTAATCATTTGAGTGATCAGTGATCTATTCATAAAGATAGACACTTGCTTGATTCTTGAATGAATCAGTCGTCTGAATGAATCGCTTGAACTAATGATTTAAATGTTCACTAATTAACACAGTCACTTGACGCCACCTACTGGCGGTTTACTCTCATATGGGTCAGACCGAAGATTTTTTCTTCCCCGCGGTAAGTTACAGCGTCATCAGAGAGAATTGCAGTAAGTTAGCAGAATACAAGCTCGCGCTGAGGCTCACTCCTTGCTCAATATTCTCACGACGCAAAAAAACATTCAAAACATCTGCAGAGTGCACACATTACGTGAAGTCTAGTGCGCGTGCGCATTTACAGTGCGCTCTGCCTGATCACTGCATGATTCAGTCTATTAAAATACATTCAGAATGATCACAAATTCAAGACATTTATACCACTTATAGTTAATTAATTTCACACGGAAGAGTGCCTTTTTTTCTCTCCAAAAATTACCATATACAAATGTAATATTGATTTTTTTTTAAAAAATTCAACAGTTCAATAAAGTTTTATTAAGAGACTTACGTTTTAGACACCATATTGCCTGTTTTTGCACTATTTCGCCAACAAAAATAATTCCAAAAAAAAAATCAGTTTAAATGATTCGGTTCAGTCGCAATGACTCACTTAACAGTGACTTACTGCCACCTACTGGCGGTTTTAATTTCACATTTAAAGTATCTTTTCATTTTTTTAATTATTTCAAATATCAGTATTCAATTTTTTATGTTTAATATATCAAATTATTTATGCATTTGTAACTGCAGGTTAAATGCATTAAACAGTGTGTAAATATTTCTAAATGCCAATTCAGGTGCAGCTTATGTCTGGATTGCAAAGATGAATTTTGTTGATACTGATTTCATTTGCTTGGTAACAGCCCAAATGTATTATTCTTATTCACTGATTAAATGTAAGAATTTGACTCAAAAGATAATGCACACTTATAGAAAAAAATGGCTTTATAAAGGTAAAATGCCCATTAAAGGTAAAAATCAATTTAAACTTATTGGAAAAGATTCATTTCTATCAGACCACCACACAGAATATGAAGAATATGAAAAACTTTAGGAGTCAGCTGTCCACGAAAGTCCTTAAGATACCAGCATGATAACACACTCAATCAGTTGAATGAGTGACTCAATGACTCACTCATTAAAAGACCGTCACTTACTGGTAGTTTAGTTGAGAAGTATGTTGAAAAGTATGCATTTTCCCCCTCAACATTTCTTATTTGTATATTCATAAATGCATTTAAAACATTAATCTTATAACATTATTTATTGCAGTTGTAATTATTGTTATTTGCAGTGTAAATTATTTAATCTGACTGGTAGCAGCCCTATAGTGTATATTGAATTTATTGATAAATTGTAATTTGGTTAAAAATAGTAATAGTTAAAAATAGCCTTTGTAAAGGTAAATAAAAATATGCAGATTTAAGTATGTAAAAGCTGATAGAATGCTAATGAAAATATTGCTTCAGAATAAATTGTTTGTTTCGTAGTAATAAATATAATTTATTACAGCAATGATATTTTGTTTTCTTTTTAATTTAAACACATTAAAAATTACATATTAAATATTACATATGTCTGTAGAAACCCTGTTAAAGTATCATTGCATTTTTTCCAACTTTTCATATTTGTATATTAAAAATTATTTAAAACACTAAGCTCATAACATTATTCATGCAATTGTAATTTTGCAATGTAAATGTAAATTCATTAATGAAATGTAAGAATTTGAAATGAAAGATAATGCAAACATTTTGATTAGGAAAAACAATTGCCCTAACTTTAGTTTAAAAAAACACCTTGGAAATCAGTTTAAAATCACAAATATGCTGATTTCAGTAAGTAAGAACTGATAAAGAAGTGATAGTTTAAATGATGTAGATTCTCTCACATATCCAAGATTGTCATCATTGCATTATTGTCAAATTGAATGGTTAATTTAATTTAATAATTTAATTTAAGTTTGGGATCATTAAGATTTTTGAATGTGTTTGAAAGAATTATCTTATGCTTACTAAGGCTACATTTATTTGATCAAAAATACAATAAAAACAGGAATATTGTGAAATATTATTTCAATTTAAAATAACAGTTTTTTTTATGTGAATACATTTTAAAATAGAGTACTTTTTAAAAAATACAATAAAAACAGGAATATTGTGAAATATTATTTCAATTTAAAATAACATTTTTTTTTATGTGAATACATTTTAAAATAGAGTACTTTTTTAAATAATTTAGTCCTGTGATTCAAAGCTGAGTTTTCAGCATCATTACTCCAGTCTTCATTGAAGTCATTCTAATTTGCTGATTTGCTGCTCTAGAAACTTTTCTGATTATCAGTATAGAAAACACTTGTGCTTATTCTTTTGTTTTTTATAAATATAAATTTTTTATAAATTTATGCTGAAATTTATTTATGAAATTTATGCTGAAAAGTAAAATGTGTCATAATTTACACAAAAATATAAAGCAGAAATTCAATATTGATGATAATAATAAGAACCGTTAGTAATGATTGAGCACCAATAATCATAACTAGGGATATGCCAGTATCAGATTTTCATGTTGCGATTAATTGCTCATGCTTTTATCACGGTATACGGTATTATCACGGTGTTAAAATTTAGTTTAAAAAA